TGCTGCTCTTACTATTATGGTATCCATGTGTTTGAGATAAATACCTATGATCTAAAACAAAATGAGCATCTTTGGCATTATAACATCCAATTCCTAGCAATTAGCAGAGATTAAGGATTCATTCTGAGCTTCTAATTCCATTCCACTGCAGTGAAGTAATCTTAGGGAGAGTAGGTCTATATATTTACTCAGGTATGAAAATTTGAAGACTGAGCACACATGGATTTGTTACAATAGTTTTGAATATAGTAATTTTAAGCAAAAGTAGAAAATCAATCCAAATTGCAAATTGAATGACATTGCTTTTACAAGTCAGTTTCATTTATCATTCTCATTTTTCACTCCACATGTACCAAAGTCTTACACAAAAAATGACTTACTCCATAATATTGGTACTTTTATTTATTATCTTGTCTTTTGAATGTAAGTGTTCAGGTCCTTGGCATCAGCAAGAATATTGTGTTTTAGGAAAGACAAATTTAAACAGTCATGTAACATAGAAGAATGTTTCAAGAAATCCCAAAACAATAAATGCTGGCGAGGATGTGGAGAGACAGGAACACTCTTATACTGCTGGTGGGACTGCAAATTAGTGCAGACTTTGTGGAAAAGAGTTTGGAGATACCTGAAAGAGCTAAAAATAGAAATACCATTCAACCCAGCAATAGCATTATTAGGCATCTACCCAAAAGAGCATAAGACATTTTATTATAAAGACATTTGCACCCAGATTTATGGCAGCACAATTCACTATTGCAAGGATATGGAAACAACACAAGTGCGCATCAATTCATGAGTGGATTGTTAAAATTTGGTAGGTTTACAATGGAATATTACAATTCTAAGAAACGACAGCGAGCTAGCACCACTTATATTATCCTGGAGTGAGCTTAAGCCCATTATCCAAAGTGAGGTGACACGAGATCAGAATAATGGGCTCCACATGTACTCGCCATCAAATTGGCACTGACTGATTATCACTATGGTGCCCAAAGGGTGGTGGTGTTCACCAGGGATTCGGGGTTTGGGGGGGGTTGGCCCACATCTGAGGGATGTGCTGAACAGTGGGGAGTGGAAGGGCATGCCTCTAACCCTTGCTAGGGAAAGGCAAAGATGTAAAATGTAACCAAAATGTTAGAAAAAAAACCAACAACATTTATCGGGTGTCAGGCAGGTGGGGGGGGATGTGGCGATGGGTGCACACATACATAATAAGTGCGATGTGCACTGTTTGGGGGATGGAAGCCATGACTCGAGGGGGGAGGGGAGGCAAGGGCAATGTCTGCTACCTTAACATTTGTACCCCCATATTATACTGAAATACAAAAAGTTACCATGTACAATAAAAAAAGAAAAAATAAGACAGAAGAGTGTAATTTGATTAGAAACATGATATATCACAGTTGGAGGGTAAGAACATCTCTATAAATCTTCATTACATGCTCATGAACAAATTGTTAAGAAAGATTAGTCTCACATCTCAAGACTGGGAGAACAATGTGCTTTTATTACCAGCATTAATTTACAGGCTAAATCCATTGGAACTGGTGATTCTTAGGACTGCCAGCTTGGGGAAGGTTAACTGGTGGATAGCCTCACAAATATGAACAAGGAGCACCATAATAGTGAGAATCACAGTCCCAAGGTGGAAGATGAGTAGTTGAAAAAACAGAAGTGATGGGCTAAAAATGTAAATGTATTGTGACAAGGAACAGTCCATGTACGTTTTGCTCTTACATGAACTAAGGTGCTGCACACACTGAGAAGTCACTGTTATCTGCCACATGCATGAAGACATGGGGGCGGGGTTTTCAGTCTTGACAGTTTCATTGCTTCACACCATTTTCAGTTTTTCCTCTTCTTTCTTCATTGTTATTAAGATCCAGCTTTAGCCCTATGCTGTTTCTTTTTTACTATTATTTTCACAGGACACATGCATGTTTATCTATAATTGTATTATGCTCTTTTTCTCCCAATGACAGAAAAACTAGGTCTTCTTTTACATCCAAGAAGAAATAAACTCTGTTTTTGAATTTGGGGCAAGCTAGTTAATATACTCAGAGGAGATAATGACTTTTATCAGTGTTAGTTTAGTTACAATAGGCTCAGAAGGTTTGGGCTGTATTCATTCATCCACCTTTAGTATCTCCAATCCTCATGCACACATTAATCCACCCAATTTTTTTTTTATTTATATAGAACAACTTTACAACTTTGTAAAATAAAGGTTTGTAGAAAAGAAGCCAGTATGTCAATAGCTATCACTACACTGGAACCTCAATTTTTTCTGTTTCCAACATTCATAGAACCCACTGTTTTGTACATTGCACTTTATCATCTTTAAATTATTTTTAATAGCATTTAGGATTCTCATTCATTAGCTAGTACATCTCCAGGACTTACAAGTTTTACATGGCAAACAATATTGCCATCTCTGTAGTATATGTATGAAAGTGTTTAATTATTTAAATATTGTTTGAACCTTGGTTTCATTATTTCATTAAAATAAATGTAAGCCTCAAAATCAATTTTTAATGTTGATGAGAAGTTAAAGTTTGAAAACTTAATAACAGTCTGGAAGGGTAGGGAGATTTAAGATTGATAAATGGTTACAAATATACCATTAGAAGATATAAGACCTCGTGTTTGATATATCAGTAGAGTTACCATAGTTAACAATAATTTTTCACACATTTCAAAATAGCTTGAAGAGAATAATTCAAATGTTCCTAGCATGAAGAAAATAAAAATATTAAAGATGATAGATATTCCAATTACATTCGTACATTATATCAAAATATTACACGTACCCTAAAAATACATACACCTTTTTTGTATCAATAAAAAAATTAATAAAAGTCAGAGAAATACCACTTGTCAAAAGTGGAAAACATTCCACCTCTATCTGATTATCATTGAGTTTAGGTCTGTATTTTTGAGGTTTATCATGAAAATGAAATAAAATATTAAATACACAATATCTAAGACCATATGTAAGGTATGAGCTGTAAAGGAATTATGAAACAGCTACCTGGGAAGATAATCATGTTTATACCATGTAAGTGCATTGCCTGGACAATTTCAGTAATATGTTAGGTATGAAAGCGGAAACATAGCAAACAATCTGCATGTAATAGGAAAGCATAAAACATAGAAATGAGGTTACCATCACAGAGACATACATGTATTATGAGTAGTTGAAAAAAACAGATTATCATAAACAGATGGCAAAGCCTTAACATGTTTTATTTTTTATTAACATTAATGTTTATTAAGCAATAATCAGAGATTATCAGCATACATGTATATTCTTAAACATATACACATGTTGATATTAACAATAGGTTTGCAGAAAGTTCAATCTCTCCCAGCTTTCTCCATGCACCACTGAAGTTTCTAGGCATTTGTGTTTTCAATGTAATATCTACATGAGATCCAGTCTTATTTTTAAACTAAGGTATTTGTCACTATATTTTATCCATAAAAGAACCCAGATGTAAAATCATCCTCATATAGCCATCTGATCTGTGACAAGGCAGACAAAAACATACACCGGAGAAAAGAATCCTTATTCAATAAATGGTGCTGGGAAAATTGTATAGCCACATGCAGAAGACTGAAACAGGACCCATACCTCTTACCTCTCACAAAAATCAATTGACAATTGATAACGCTTAAATTTAATGCATGAAATCATAGAATTCTAGAAGAAAATGTTGGAAAAACTCTTACAGACATTGGCCTAAGGAAGGAATTTATGAAGAAGATCTCCAAGGAAATCACAACAACAACAAAAATAAATAAAAGGGGCATGATCAAATCAAAGAGTTTCTGCATAGCCAAAGAAACTATCATTAAAACAAATTAGACAACTTACAGAATTGATAAAAACAGGGATGATAACTAGAATCTATATGGAATTCAGGAAAATCAAAATATCAAACAATACCATTAGAAATGGGCAAAGGACAGGAACTGATACTTTTCAAAAGAGGACAGGCTAATGGCCAATAAATATATGAAAAAATGCTAAATATCTCTAATCATCAGGGAAATGCAAATCCAAACCACAATGAGATATCACTTATCTCCAGTGAGAATAGTTTTATCTAAAAGTCCCCAAATAACAGATGTTGACATGGATGCAGAGAGATGGGACAGTTACACTGCTGGTGGGACTACAAACTATTATAACCTCCATGGAAATTAATATGGAGATATCTCAAAGAACTCAAAGCAGAACTACCATTTGACCAGTGATTCCACTACTGGGTATTAACCCAAAAGGAAAAAGCCATTCTATTAAAAAAAGACATCCGCACTCAGATATTCATAGTAGCACAATTCCCAACAGCAAAGATGTGGAAACAACCCAAGTATCCATCAATACATGAGTGGATTAATAAAATGTGGTATATGTTATGCCATGGGGTACTGCTTAGCCATAAGAAATAAGAAACTAACACCCCTTGTACTATCTTGGATGGAGCTGGAGACCATTATTCTAAGTGAAGTATCCCAAGAATGGAAAAACAAGCAGCACATGCACTCAGCATTAATTTGGTACTAACTGATCAATACTTATGTGTACATATGGAAGTAGCATTCATAGGACAGCAGGCAGGTCGGGGGTGGAGAGGATAGGTAAACTCATGCCTAATGGGTACAATACATGAGGTCGGGGGGTTAGGCATGTTTGTTGCTCCTACTTGGACAGTGCAAAGTCAATGTATGTCATCAAAGCATTTGTACCTCTGTAATATTCTGAATTTGTTTTTAAAGAACTTAGTTTGTACCTTCACATTCATAACATTAGAAATTAGCACCCTGTAGTTCTGAAGTGTAATGCCTTTTAGTTTCTTTCCTGCTATCAAGTGCTAGCAATATATAGTACATTAGTATGTAAAGTAATAAAAGAGTAGACATAGGGAATTAAAGAAGAGGTGACACAAAGTTATGTTTGTTCAAATTCAAATAATAAAATGAAAATTGTTACCTACCTAAAGCTTTACTGTAGTAGGAATCCCATTGTTTCCAAAGAGTTTCAAACATGTAGTCCTGTAGATGGTAGGAGATGAAGTTTCTTATTCTGTCAGTAAAAGACATCTGGTCGGTGAGTTCTGATAAAACAGCAGGAACATAGGAAGGAGGGTATGGGACCTTCCCACAGTGCTTTTCTACTGTTGAGGCTGGAGAAAACCTCAAGGAGTATATAAATGGAATCCCCAGTTTTAAAGCTACTATATCACCACAAGGAAATACTGGATCTGACACCAGAACCTCAAATTTGCTGCTATTCAGCTTTTCCATCAGCTTTTGATTTTTAAGAACACCATCACAGATCTCTTCTAACAATATGTGGAAGTCCTTCATAACTTTGGTTATCTCCTGGTAGAATCTCCAAATGGTTGAAGGAGATGGTCTATTTTCTAGCCATGTCAAAACAAAGTCCTGGAGGATTCCTATTCTTCTTTCTTTGCCAAAGGACACATTATACATTTCAAATATGAGACGTGGCTTAGGGGTTGGTGTCTTAAAAAATGTTGCATCAAAGGCAACTAGGACAGTCACATTGTGTTCTTTTTTAATCAGTTCATCTATAATCACCTCAATGTTCAGCCAATGACTACCTTCCACTGCCCAAATAAGAATATTCCCACCAAGAGTACTTCCTAGGAAACTCATCTGAAGAGACAACAGCAGAATCTTGTTTAGCATGTTGTGGCTTGATGCAGAAGATTTGATGAGATGTGAAGTAAATGTGTCTCTCTGCTTTTCAAACAAACAAAAAAGACAAAAAAATTATTAGTTTTGGTGAAAATCATTCATACCCTTTAAGAGCATTCTCTCAAACAAATTAGTCATATGTTAGCTCCATATTTTATGGCAATTGTAAGTTTAGGGGTAATGTGTTTTACCTCTCACCTGTTGCTTTACCTTTGGTTACAATTCCTGCTCTCTAATCTTTCTCTCAAACTTGATCCTTCAACCCTTTCTTTGTGTCTCATAATTGTTAAATTTTTATCATTAAATTAGAGGAAGCCACTGCATATCTCAATTCTAAATTTAGGCCTAGATACTGAAATTTCAGATAGGACCAAAACTCATTCAGAAATGGCAGAATTTTAATTCTGTAAGTTTTTCAATATTTAATACATTCATATAATTCAATTAATAACAATTAAGAATTATGATCATTATTATAGATAAGGTTATTACAAAGAATATTTATAAAAATATAAAGTATTAATACATATAGCAAATGTAATATTTACTACTATTTTAATAATATGTTTAGGAAAATATTTTATGTTAGTCACTGAGAAAAATATTATAAATAAATAAAATATGTACAAGTAATATATGCAAAAATTATGGGTAATGTTATTAGTGAATAGGAGCTATTTAAAGAGAATTAATATAAAAAAATGAGACTGGGCATAGTGGCTTTTGGCTGTAATCCAAGCACTCTGGGAGGCCAAGGTGAAAGGATTGCTTGAGCTCAGTAGTTGGAGATCCAGCCTGAGCAAGAGTGAGACCCCATCTCTACTAGAAAAAAAAAGAAAATTAGCCAGCCATTATGAAACATTCCTGTAGTCCCAGCTACTGGGAAGGCTGAGGCAAGAGGATTGCTCGAGCCCAGGTGTCTGAGGTTGCAGTGAGCTACAATGATGCCACTGTACTCTACCCAGGGCAACAGATCAAAGCTGTGTCTCAAAAAAAAAAAAAAAAAAAAGTAACTATACAAATAAATATCATAATATAGTATGTAATGCATAAAATGTATAATAAAAATATTTAAATAAATAAAATTATATTGATTAAGCAACAAGCATATTACCTGGAATAAAAGAGACATTTAAAATTTATCTTTCTTATAGAAGAAAGATAGAGAAAATGAGAAAATGTGCCTTCAGATGAAATGACACAGGGAAAATGTTTTCAGAGCTCTGTAGAGATTGTTTTCAGGTTTCTTTTGGGGGAGCAGGGAATGGAGTATGGGACAGAGAACAGGAAAGTCTTCATGAGAAATGAGACATTTGGTGTCCATCTTGGAGTGTGGAGCACCCATATGATGATCAGGGGGCACAGAGGTATCCAGTATCATGCCACAGTAAACTATGTTTTTTATACATCTCAGAAATATGAACCAGCATTAAGAAATTAAACTATTGGGGTGCAGTTTGAGAATGATTGGTGTTTCTGAACTTAATAGAAAACTAAATGAAAAGTTATTTTGTCAAAGAAAAGTTTAAAGAGTTTGTGAAAAACAAAGGATTTTTGCCAAAAGTGTGGGATTGAACTTGTGATTTTTATCTCTTCTGACGTATCCTACAGGTAAGAAACAAATAAATAAACAAATTAATTAATTAATTTAAAAAATGAAAAATATGAACTTGTGATTTTAATTATTCTGATCTTAAGATCACGTGAAAGGTGATGTGCTCTTGTCAGAAAATTTTTGAAAGAGACTATAGCTAAAAATTGGATTAATATATTGGTGAAATCTAGTGAGTTCAGAACAAAAGCTAATATTTAAAAAGAAGCCAGCATATCCAAATATTTTTATCATAGACAATGATAATGAAATATGTACTTTGTTTAATTACACACAAAGGGAGTAAGTAAGGCATTTACATTACCAAAGTTGGTTATGGCTATTACAATAGAATTTTCTGTAGAGAAATTTTGTTTCCTATCTTCTTTTTAATAAGTTAATTAGATTTTGCATAAAATTTATTTCATATATATTTAAAGTACATTTAAAATAGATAAATATTTAAAAGTCCATTACACAGTATTAATAAGGAACCCACCAAAGGTTGACATCTTGCATCCTCTTATACACATGTTATTTTAAAGACCATGGTGATCATTTGTGAGAATCATCTTGTCTTCACCATATATCAATATGAATTTTATTATTTGTTACTTTTCTGTCAACTAATGAAGGAACAAATTCACTCTCCACTGGTAGGAACCAAAGATATGAGATGAACCATTAAAGAGGCCAATGAGATCACACTTAGACAAAAATCTCAAAATTCTGCTCTCTCATACAGTTCCTTTAATTATTTATAAAATCATTCTAAAGTGTAAAATCTGGAGAATAAAACCCCTCAAATTATTTTGAGACAGAACTGAAAATTTTTTTCAATTGGAAGCATTGAAAAAACCAAAATTTAACCCATAACGTCTTAATAATTAGTATTCCCTTTAGAAGAAAATAAAAAAAATGAGTCCAAATGTACATTATACAATGATTATCATGAGGTTTTCAAGTTTCTTACCTGAAGTTTCCTATTGGTACTCTAATAGCACTCATTTGACATTATGAAAAAGTTGAACTTAAATAAATCCTCATTTGGTAAGCATAATAAGATGAGGAATGTGACCTTAAATGGAGAAAAGGTTGTACAGATTCTTGTTTACACTTCGCATTCTCCACCCATTACATTATGAAGCACATTAACCCTTTGTTGAAGGCTTAACCATCTATTAGTTCCTGGCCAGCTCTTTGCACTGAATTATGCCTTTGCTATCACAGAGTTTACTCCTCCCCAACAATGAAGTAAATATTGAACAAGGTAGTGTCCAACTTGGCAAAAGAGAGACTCACAATAAGGAAACTGTATAACGAAAGATAGGCCTGAAAACTCCCTATCATTCTATTAAGTTTCTGAATGGGAAAGAGCACTGTGACTCTAAATCACACCCCCTCACAGACTACAGGCAAACACCTAATTAACTCTGTAAAACACAGACATTGTTTCAGTTTCTGAAGCTTTTTGTAGAAATGATTCCTTTTTCCCCAATCCAATGACAGCAATATTCATTCCTTATAATGAGTTATAAATACAGGACAATGCATATTAAAGCAAGATCAATAAGCTTACCAATTGGCTGATTTTCAAGATAGCAATATTTCATATCATGTACCATATATTATTTATTAATACTTAATAAATACTTAAAAATCCATATCAAGTATTTTATCTTTTGTACCTTTGAGTTATTTTTTTCCTATGCGTATGAGTAATTTACTACTATGAAAAAATCACCCCAAATTTGGTAGCTTCAAACAACAATAATTTTATTTCCTACCAATTGTGTGGCCCAGCAATGTGTTCAGGGCTCAGTTGGACAGGTCTGCCGATCTGGATACGCCTCTGTGGCTAAGGTCATCTTAGTGGCTCTGTGTGATGGTTAATTTTATGCATCAGCTTGGCTAGGTCAGCTATCTCTATCAAAGTGGGTTTTTTGGGGGGTAGATTAACATTTTAGCAAATTACTGTTCATAGTCTAGGTGGGTCTCATCCATTCAGTTGATGACGTTAATAGAACAAAGATTGACCTCACCTAAGTATTAATAACAAGGTATTCTGCCAGCAGACTACTTTGGATTCCAATTGCAACTCTTTCCTGGGTCTCAAGCTTGCAGGCCTAGCCTGCAGTTTCTGAACTTCCCAAATTATCTAAGCCATTTCCCTAAAGGCTTTTTCTCTCTCTGTCATTCTCTCTCACTCTGCCATTCTCTCCGTGTCTCTCTCTCTGTTTTTGTCTTTTCCTCTCTCTCTCGCCACATACACACACACGCACACCTTGTGGAATCTGTTATATAATACCATCAATCGCACCCAAAGGTGGAAACGGCAACCAATCCTGCCTGGCGGCGGGGAAGGCGGGGCAAACTAGTGGGTCTGTAAAAGGCAACACGTGCTCAGCCTCTAGTGTCTTTCTCCGCTCCTGGAGACTGACCCGTGCCCCTCTCTCTGGAATGCATTTTCCTTTTGCATAGCTTCCCTTGCTTTTATTCTTTCTACTATATGTTGAACTGTATTAAGTTGCTCTGTGTTTGTGATCACTCCTTCATCAGATCGACTCAGTACCAGGACTCATTCTTGAAACTGGGAATCGGAGACCAAGGAGCATCCCCACAGACAAACCTAACAAAAGCACTTCCTTTTTCAAGTTAACGTTATCCTGAAAAGCAACTAACCCAACAGATCTGCAAACTCCTTACACATACATGCGAGGGCTGTCTGGAAAGCGTCCAGCCTTCCTTAATAATATAATTTTTCATGTTACATGGCTGGATAATTTCTGGACATCCCTTGTGTACTATCCTTATTTCTTCATCTTTTTTACAAGGGGCCACTGTATTTTATCAATAAAATTTCTAGTATTTTGCTGGAAATAAATGATTTCAAACAACACAAAGATAAGTCTTTTAACAATTTCTCAAAAATAAGGCACAAACAGTGACAATAAAAGTTTTGAAAGCCCTGAGTAATCAGCCCTTAGGATTCTGTCTCTTAGAAAGGACCTTTATAGAGCTCAGGGATATTTGAAGCCAAAACTAAACTGACTGGGTTAACCCCAAATCATGGTTTCTTTTCCATTGTTCACTCTGTCTAGTCTCTGAAAAGCATCTGCATATAGACTAATCTAAGTTAACAGTATTTTTGACAGGAGAATAGTAAATGCTGAAATTGCTTTGCTCTTAATTTAAGTGTAATTGACCATTTATAAATCAATAGTCATCAAGAAATATACTTTAAATCACATATTTTGGAACATTTTCTACTTTTACCTGTTTCATACTTCTCAGTCCAGGCTGAACATATCACTTTTCCTAGAAAAGATTAACTCCATGCAGTGCTGTACATAAGCTATTCTGTGTGCCCTGCCCACCGTGCAAAAATGTCCCTCAGGAA